GAACGGCAGCATACTGCAGTAGCATCATCAACGCTACAGCGTTATCGTTGATACGGCATATCATTATGATGATTATTACCCTGTATTATTATTACTATTATTATTGTAGCTATGGTGTGAAAATCAAAACCCAGAAAGAGTTTAATACTCAGTGCGCGGAGAGTGTGAAGGGGTAACAAAGAAGGTGTACAGAAAGATAGACGACGGGATTTGAATTTAAATCACGCAAAAATTTTGTCGCCTCGGCTGAGGTAAAGAACATCAATGCCGAAAATCAGCAACCCCTACCGACCCACGTGTGAGAAAAGCTCGGGGAATTCAGTATGCAAATCCTGAAGATTAATTATTCATAAAGGAAATTAGAATGTAGCTTACAAACGTCTGACAAACTGGCAATGGTAGCACGCTAAACATTTTTCGTTGTTCATACAAACGTCATTTTTCAGAATGTTGTCATTTTTATTCTTTATCTTTTGAATTTCCGTAAGCGACATTTTTGAACAGATGACCTATTAATGGCCCAATCTAAATAAGCTTTATGAAAACTCATTTAAATTATTATCTACATTTATTAACTAGCTGTTTTCGAGTATTTTGTATTAATAATCTATTTCGCCCCATTACTATTTATTCAATACTTCCGTAATGCATTTCTGAATCATTATTAACGCGATGAAGTATATACTATAATGTATTTTTTATCTAGATAAAAACATTCATGGCCTGAGAATAACTTCGTGATATGAAAATGTATCTGTCTGTGTGATCTGAAGGCTCAGTTCTTAATGTTATTATCGTCTATTTACCAGTGGTTGTTTTCTCCAATTTCTCCCTCTATGTTGTATGGTGTTCTGGTTTGGACCTCAGGTTTCTTAAAGTTAAGATATCTAGGTAGTTGAAATGATCCTCGACAGTAACTTATGCAATCACAAGCACTACCTTTGATAGATCCTGCTAGTTTCTCCTAAATGACACCGTCTTCGTTTTTTCATAACAACTGTGAGTCTTGTATGTGTATCTTGTATGTGAACCGCAACATAGACTCAGATAATTTGTCTTCTACAAGAGCGCTTTCCTCAGTCATAACTTATGTATCGTTCACAAATCTTATGATTGTGGAATCTAAAGGGAGTAATTTATTTACAACCGACAACTGTCTAAATTGGATTCTCAAAATAATTATAATTTTCAATGACCTTTTAACTATGAGCTTTAAATAAAACTCCACGCATATAGTATTTTAAAAGGTCAATTCTGAAATGCGAGTACTGGTTACTGTATTTCTAGGTTATATTGTATAACCTATTTAAAAACTATTAAATATAAATTATTAACTCAGGAGTATAATGTTGCTCTAAGTTCACCTACTTACTTTTATAGACACACGCTAAGGTCGTAAATGCAAAATGAAAATGTTTTAAGTACGCAGTTTTATGCTCATAAATATACCGTTAAATAATAAGGGATCCAAATATAAACATAAAACAAAAGCACAAATATAAAAAGCATCATTTACCTTTCCAAAGTATAAAAATGTTTGCTTGTTGGCAAAATTCAATAGTTATTTATAAGTATTGACTTCATATTACTGTTTATATATTTTTTACCAAGCAGAATTTTGCTAACTTTTAAAAAAGAATATTTAAAATAACATTTCATGAATAGTAATATAAATAATATATAGAGTGTACAGTAAGTAAGGAAACAGGTAAATTGTTATGAACAATGAAAACAATAGAAACCCGTTTCCTTACTTACTGAACACGCTATATAATAATAATATAAAATTTTGATTGGTTGTTATAAAATGTGTTGTTTTAATGATATATTATATTGGTTTTCTACAAAGTCATTGAAAAAAACTTCAAATTTTGTTAAGTTATTGGTAGCGTGAAGAGAAATATTGTATTCATTTGAAAATGTTTTAATATTAAGTAAAAAACTTATAAAATAAATAAAGGCCTTGTCGTTTTACCCTTCTTGTCTACAATGAATTATACACAGATGCATATTTTATTTTTATGATATAATTTTACGGCGTTCTCTCTTTCTCTCGATACGTTGTCGTGATTCGAAGAGTATAATGTTTAGTTAAAGAGCACAGCACACCTGATATATACGTATGTATAATCGGACTCTAAACGAGAGTAGGTTTGTGACATGCAACTGGAAACTATGCACGCGAGGTTTCCCTATAAAACTAATTCTCCCTATTTTTGTTGTGTTATTATTGTTGCTATTATGATTATAACACACGATATATATATCATAAACGTGAAAACATGAGACTATATGGAAATATTTGTTAACATTATGCCATGACCAGAAAATAGTTCCACTTTAATTATACAAATATTTTCAAAATTTCTACATGTAACATCTTATATCTTTTTTAATAATCATATTATACATATCATTTTATTTTGATGTTAATATATTCTTCTATGATATGCCTTAGTGTGTACGTTTTAAAATAATGATCACATTCAAAATAAATTTAAAAAATTAAGAGTAGCTGTTTTCAAGGAAAATAATTGGAGGATTACTTTTTAAACAAAAAAATATTTGTTCATACCATTAGCAAATAAAATATATGATATTTTTCATTATAGTTTAATATTAAATTTAATTTTTACTTCTTTAAGAATCAACATCAACTACTATAAACAATACTCTGAAACATGAATAAAAGCAACACTTTTTCATGTATAATAAATATATTAATCAAAATAAAAATATTCTGTAAACATTATTTTATTTCCTAACTGTAAAGTATATCATGGAAAAATAGAAAATTAGTACTATATAAAACATTGAAGTATCATCAGAATTGATAGCATTTGTAATATATATATATATATATATATAAAATATATATTTTGTTTTTTATTCGTTTTCATCGGTTTTCGTATAAGGAATCTATTGACTTATATTGAAATTATAGGTTGGCACACGTTTTATATTTTATACTAAACAATATTTATGCAATTATACAAAGTAAAGTTAACTGTTAAAACAATGGAATATTCTTTAAAACGAGTGGTAGTATAACCACTAATTTTTGAAGAATATTAATAGATATTTTGATATGATATTATAATACCAACTTATTTATAAATTTTCTATTACTTCAAAAATATTAAGTACAAAATTAATTAACTAGTTTTAAGTTTTACCTGAGTAGTTAATTAAAAAGTGAATAAAACTTGTCATTGATGTAATGTATAATAATTCATATGTTTGTACACAGTNTAGTTAATTAAAAAGATAATAAAACTTGTCTTGATGTAATATATAATAATTCATATGTTTGTACAGAGTTTTTTCGTTTTAGCAACAAGTTTTTAAAACATCAAAAATTTAAAAATTTACACTTACGTTTAGGGACGTTTTAAATTGTTTATTTATATTTTGAATCAGATTTTTTTAACATATTTTTTTTAAATACCGTTTTAGTATATCTTTATCTTATTTTATAATTAGTTTAAAACGATTCAACTTCAATACTTTTGTTTTCGAACTTATAAATACAAAAAACACCCACTGGGGAATACTAGAACTGTTTAGAAGTTTGTAAACATTTTTAGAAGACAATTAACATAATTAAAAAAAATTTTTTTGATGTGGGACTTATTATTCAATTGAGATGCTGTGACATTTTAATTACAGTTGCGATCGTTATATTTTTTTAAAATTCTGTTGTTAAAGGAAAAAATTATGATGCTACTGACATAATGTATAACTTTATTTTATTTTTAAATGACATACAAAATTATTTTGCCGTACTATTTTTATCTATTTAACTGATGTATTTTATTTAATATAAACTGTAGTGGCTGTTATCCTCTTTAAGTTTATACACACTTATCATAACTTAAATTTTAATTACGAAGCTTACCATAAAATATTAAACAAATTAAAATATAAAAATATAGTGCAGGAGAAGAGCAGCTCAAATACCATTACCCCTATTAATTTCAAAATTGATGCATTAAATTACTTACATCGAAAACATAGGGGTTTCATGGTTATAATTTCATAATTCGTTAGATTTATTTTGATAAAAACTATGCCTTTGAACAACTATACTTTAAGATACACGAATGTTAAAGGTTCACAACTAAAAACCTACGAAAAATAAATCTTTATTAAATTATATTTTCGTTGTTTTGAAACTCATTTTCGTACGCTTTCGACTGAACCATCTTATTTTAATTATTTAAAGTGCGTTGAATATTTAAAGACCATTCTCGAATAAGTGTCATGACTAATTTTATTTTTGGCAAGTAGCAACATTATAAAAAATTAATCATTAACGTGAAAGTAAATTCCATTCAACATAAAAGCTATTACAGATAATAGGTGTTTTAAAACAGTTTCTTACGAATGAGTTTAATAATTGAAAACATTAAAAAAAGTTACTTGTGATAACTTAATAGTGAAACATTTTAACGTAGAGAAAATAAACATTATAATAAATGTATAAAACTGTTAAGGGAGTTGTAGAATGTATAAAAAATAAAAAATTAAAACTGTATCTGTGGCTTGTATCCAAAAGCTGATCTGACAACTATCAAAAATAATATAATTATTATTTTTATAATTTATTAATTGTAATTTAATAAAAAATATCAAGATACAATGAAATTTAAAATTTGTTTTTTCTATTGTGAAAATTTTCTAAAATTAACATACGATAAACTTTAGAAAAGAAGTCACAGTCATATTAACTGAAAAAAATTAAGAAATGATTTCTGAAGGTATAAAATAATTTTAATTTATTATTGAAATAAAAATGTAATCAATGGTTTTCAATAAAAAATTTTCAATAATTTCATATAGATTAATTACAATTTTTATTATTTACAAGATGTTATGCATTAAATAATATCTTGCCAAAATACTGTGAAATAAGTTTGTTTGATCATTGTATTCGTTGTAATAGTATCAAAAGATGAAATTAATTATCTGTTATAGTTATTTATAATTTTTATTTTCAGAAGAATGCGATGAAGCGTTGGGTATGGAATCCGGTGCTATACCAGACTCAGCAATTACAGCTAGTTCGTCATATAATATACCAAATGTTGGTCCAAGTAACGGAAGGTAAAATATAATACTAAAGTTAATTAATTTTGATTTTTCAGTTTTATTTTAATCTTAAGAAGTTTTAGATTTTATCAGAAATAAAATTAACTCGAAATTAATAAATTACATTTAGTATATATTATACATTTTGATTATGCTGCAATGTTTTAAAGAAATTTTATGCATTTTGCTTGAAATATTCCAATAAAATACTAAGTGTAATAACATTGAATATTTCATTATTCTTTCTGATTTATTTCTGATCTCAAAATTTATACTTGGTTTAACACTGGTACTTTATCTTCTAATAAAAATTTATCGGTTGTACTTATATAAAATAACTTTCATATTTGCCCCCAAAAATCATCAAAATATTATTTAAATACATGGAAATTATATAGAATAAACATTTGTTATCAAATAGAATCAAAATAGTTTTGACAAGAATAAAGTATTCATGTAATAATTGTAAATGCTTTTTACAAACTCAAAATACTAATTACAAAAATATCAATGCTATTAAAAACAACAACCATGTACTGAAATTCAAATGTACAGTAACTTTGGAATTTACATTTTTAGGTAAACTTCAGAGACCTAGAATTTGAATAATAACCTTACCACCATATTTTTTGAATAACCGTAATATTGATTGGCGTATTATGCATCCCAAATTTGCTCTAAATAATCCTATAGACTTATCCATCATACTTGGAGCAATATTTATAACGTTAACTTATCATGCATCATATTTACACGTATTTACGACATTTCAAAATAAATGAGACTTAAGGGATAAAAATAACATAAAAATAAATATTATAAAATTATTCATTTTCAGTGGGCTTACGAAAAATCAATAGTTACCTCATGAAATAATTTATTATTTACTTTACTTAAGATAATAAAAAATATCATTTATTGCATTGAATTTTTCAAAGAATAATAAATTTGGCAATTAATATACAACTTCAATGTTAAATTTCGTTTGTATTAACATTATAAATTGAAAAGATTAATTTTAGAAAATTGTACGATAATGAAGAAACAAATCTACCAATACCAAAAATGAATGGATATTTTTTCATTTAAATTTTTTATCGTAAATAATTTAAAGAAAACAAATAAAATTTGAATTTGAATGGTCTGACTCAAATTTTTAAATCATTTAATAATTGAAAATACATCCGTATTATAACTGTAAAAATAACATGTATATCTGAATCTATAATGTATCTCATATTATCTTTATTGTGCTATGAAATTATTTCTAATTATTTGAGTGCAAAAATATCTTACTAAAGTTTTAAATTCATCCTAATTTTATCGACTAATGGCTCAACTTAATGTCAACTGCATTTGGCCAATATAATTAAAAATTTTACGTTAGTTAAATTTTCATAAGACATGATTATTAAAGTTATCCGGTCGTATAAACTATAGTTTATATTCAAACGCAACCTAAATACTTATTAGACCGATGTTGTAAACGCATAATTACACTACTATGGCCTTTTTTTAAAATATAAACTATGATATCGAAGTGTAGAGTGGTAGTATAAATGTATAAGTAGAGATCTCATCTAACACACTAGCTAGTTTGTATATATATATGAATGTTGCACCTCCAACCGTGTCGCCGTGTTCGCCAATATTCTATAGTTGACCCTNTATATATATATGAATGTTGCACCTCCAACCGTGTCGCCGTGTTCGCCAATATTCTATAGTTGACCCTTCAAAAAGCTTCTTCCCCTTTCCCTGCCATCAATTTACCAATTTGAAGTGACACTTGAAAACTGTACAAACTTCTATTAAATTAAATTAATTTTATAAGAAGTACACACGTGTGCTTTCCCACTATTCATAATATCACTTTATTAAAAATTCAGTTACTACTATACCACATAAGTGGACATTTTACTTATCTTATTATTTTAATAAATTTAACACGATAATGTTTCAAACGTTGTTGTCCTTATATTTTAAACGAAAGCATAAATTTAATTCTTTGTGCATACGAAATTTATTTTATAAATGGCTAATTTAATTAAAAAATCCTAGTGCTTCAATAACAAGTAAAAT